CCTACAACAATTGAGTCATCTTGGCTGTTCGCTTTCAATTTTCGCAGTGTGAAAACAAAAGCTGAAAGAGCTATCACGAATTCCGTAGTGTGGTAGGTCTTGGCCATTTTCGACAGGCAATGAGCCAATGGATCAGGAAGGATTTGGACTAGTTTCTTAAAGTCGCGCGATTTTTCACCTACTGATTTCTGAGGGAGTGCTGTCGCCTCTCTTCCTAATAACTGAGACTTCAGCTCCTCAAGTTCTTTCGAGAAGTCCAAATTCTTTCGCTGCCACTGTGCATATTCACAAACGGAGTAGGGAATCGGCTGTACTCTTTCCTTTTTTGACCTCCAATACATGGTGTAGATACTGTTCAGCTCTTGTGCCAGCACTGTTATCGACCATCCGTCCGTCAAAATGTGATGCTGATTGAATAGAACCACGTAGTCGTTGTTAATCTGATTCAATCGCACTCTTAGTGGCACCTTTTCCAGATTGAATTCGTAGTTTCGTTCTTCTTCAATGATTTGTTCGTGATCTAACGGTTTGACGTCTATGCAGGATAAGTTCTGATAGCTTTCAGTGAGGGACAGTACAGTCTGATAACTGGTGGACGTTTCCGTCTTCTGGCAGAAACACGTACGAAGAGAGTGTTGTCGAGCTATGAGGGAATGGATTGAGTGAGTCAGCGTTTCCTTTGAGAATTTCTTAGTTGTTTTACGAAAATAAATAGCGAATAGAATATTATATTGTGGGCCTTTTTCTAGATGTCTCAATAGGAACATGTTCTCTTGCGAGTATGTTAATTCTGCTGGTAAGGTCCTATCAAAAGGGTCTACTTTGACTGGTGAGGTTTGGCAGGGTAATATGCTAACAAAATCTTGGAATAGAGGATATTTGAAGAGCGTAGCCACTGTTATGTCTATCTTCAACATTGTGTTGAGAGTCCAGACTACCCTTAGGGCACTCAATGAATTTCCGCCGTTGTCAAAGAAGTCCGTATCGTTTTGAACTTCAACACCTAGCACTTCTCTCCAAATGCAAGCGACTTTTTCTTTCAATGACTCATTTTTCTTAGAACTATTTTCTGAAACCTTTACTCGTTCTCCAGTGAGCTGTGCCTTCTCGATCAGCTCACGCATCTCTAGCGGTGATATCAGGGAATGTGCCACAACGCCAGCAAAGCCTAGAGTTTCTCTCACTGCTTGTCTCGCAATTTGTGGAGAAATTGCAGTTCTCATCAGCATAGAATGCAGCTCGTTGTGCCCAAATGTTGCAGCCATACCTGCACTCTTCCATGCGGGCCACTGTACTGAGAGAATTCTATTCACATGGGGATCTCCGTTTAGTGCTAGCGCATCCATGAAAATATTAGCTGCAGCATAATCGTCAGTTCCTTGCAGAGCTACTATGCTGCTTAGCGATGATGCCATGATCAAATTTTCAAGTTTTAATTTATTATTTTTGAGATAATCAAGTATATTCGTGAGTCCAGCGACTTTTGGAAGCAGCACTTTGAGCATATCTGGGACTGTCTTCTCCAGTGATTTTGTGGTTGCCTCACCAGCTGCGTGGATTATAGTATTGAGGTTACCGTATCTCAAATAAATTTCATTCAAGGCTGTTTCTACAGACTTCTTGTCGCTTATGTCCATTG